AAAATAAATAAATCTGTATTTCATGTCTATATAACGTTGCCATGCTTTGTGCCAGATATGTAATTTTAAACAGGACAAATTATCCATTGAACTCAGGTGGCCAGACTATTTTTGCACTTCCCCCCTTCCCGTAACCATACATTTTCTGAAAACATATGAGCAGTTGAAAAAAAAGGTGCTATTGTTTTTTTAGGCCACGTGATATTTGCGTAAATGTTAATCAAAACAATTTTTTCACTAAATATACACTAGAATCATTATTAGCAGACACAGCTTTTAGAGTTTGTAAAATACCAAATAACCCATACATTTTCTGTAAGCGCATGACTGGTAGAATAAAAAATAAAGGTGATAATGGTTTTTTAGGCCCCGCAATAGTTGCGCAAATGTTTATCAAATCACTGTTTTTGCTAAAAAAAATACAATAAAATCATTTATTAGTGGACACAAACACAAAATTCCTGCTAAAGTCTTACTAGGACTTTGTACACATGGGGCGTGCTAAAATGTGCGACCATGCGAGGGTTTACTGGCACAGAGATGCAAAGGTGTTCTGTGCAGACAGCGAGAGGGAAGAGGAGGAGAAGCTGGCACCTGCAGAACCACAGGGGGGATTGGTGCTGAGGAGGTTAATCCATGCTGGAGCTGGGGGCATTTTCGAGAACAGCAGAGCAGCAGGGGATGTAAAGCATCAGGAGATGAGGGCAGAGCAGCAGCACATTTTAGGTAAATAACTGCAATCGGTGGCTTGTCAGCCACTGATAACAGCTATTGGTTTGTTCAGCAGTGTCTGTAAGCTTATGGTCACTGAAAGTGATCATGAACTTATAGCAGAAGGAGGTAAAAAGGTAAATAGAAAAAATCTAAGCATTGCATAAAAGTCATTTTTGCAAGATTGTGACAAAAAGAAAGCATTTTTTTTGTCCTTTAAAAAAAAAAAAAAAAAAAAAAAAAAAAATATATATATATATATATATATATATATATATATATATATATATATATATTTTACTTTGCTGTCCTAAATAATGACAAAGCTGTTTTGAAAAACGAGTCCTTAGCAGAAATGTAAGAATGATCTCTGGACCATAGGGGGATGTACAGGTATGGGAGCTGAAGTGGTTAACCTGAACCTTTCATTAAACAGTTATGGGAACAGGGGCTCTAATTGGTGACCCCTTTCTTAAGATGTTTGTTGCCTTGTTATGCAGACCCACTGGATCATTGACCAGAATGCAAGTCAGAGAGGTCAGAGACTAACCTGAATTTCTTATCTGAATACTTTGTACAGGACATTGACACAGTATTCAAGCAGGAGGCGGCAAAGACAGCCAGGCAACTAGTATTTTCAGAAGGAAATGTTCGCAAATGTAGCTTATCACATAAAAGGGCTCTGTTAAGAGACGCTAATTCTTGTCTGGTCATCCTATTTTAAATTAAGTCCTAAGCTGTATTGCAGTACATTAAATCCACATGCTAATCACTATTTTTCTTTGTTGAAATTACATTAATGCTGATGTGTATAAAAAAAAATTTACATTTGCTTTTCTTATTTAGTTGTTACAGTATATAACAAGGATCTGTAAACTTTCTTTAAAAAAAAAAAAAAAGGGGCTGTGCCAGTTTATTGTCCCTCGGACTTTAAGGGGACCAGACTTTGGCCACTGAGGGTGGGAAACAGTAAATAGTGCTTCAGGCTTGGTGGTCATTGAGATTTAAAAATGTACATGGCGCTCCTGGTTAGAATGATGAGGAATAGTGAGTCATTGGAATTAGTGGGAGGAATAGTGCCCCATTGTTTGTGTCAATGTAAGGAGCGGAGCCCCATCGTTGGGGTTACTGAGAGAATAGTGCCCCATTGTTGGTATCAGTGCGATGACTAGGGCCCCATTAATGATGTCAATGGAAGAAATAGTGCTCAATCATTGGTGTTAGTGGGGAAAAAATTATACCTGATCGTTGTTGTCAGTGGAAGGTATAGTTGTCGAAGTCTGTGAAAGAAGCAGTGCCCTATTGTTGGTTACATAGTTGCTCTGGCTGAAAAAAGACACAAGTCCATAAAGTTCAACAGTGCTGTATTGTTGGGTGTCATTTGAAGGAACAGTGCACTATTATTGGTGTCCATTAAAGGAATAGTGCTCCATTGTTGGATTCAGTGGAAGTAGTAGTACACGATCATTGTCAGTGGAAGGAATGGTGCCTTATCATTGGTGTCAGTGGAAGGAATTTTGCCTCATCATTGATGTCAGTGGAAGGAATAGTGTCTTGTATCCGTGCAAAGAACAGTACCTTTTATAGGCCAGATAAAGCCAAGCAAAGGGCCGCAGTTTGGAGCCCGCTGGTATGACATTGTTTTGAGTTGGGGAAAGATGACTTGGGTTACTAACAATGCACATGCAGTTATGGATGCTGAACTTAATAAAAGGTTTCCTATTCTCTTTTTGCTGAATGCTTTTCTCGTGCTGAACTTGGTGCTTTTGCCATTTGGTGAGTTCTCAAAAAACATTTTTTTTTTTTTTTTTTAAATATTTTCCTTGCATACGATTGGGTATTCTTTGCAAAGTGAAGCTTTACCTCTTTTACTAAGCTCTGGAGCAACTCTAGTTGCAGTGCACAGTATATGTGCCTTTAGTAAATCAATCCCATTGTATTTGTTACATATTCACACACACATAGTAGAACTTAAAAAAAAAAAAATAGCTTAGCCTTTTACTTACTTAAAAAGTGTATATTCTGGAAGAATGGTCAAACATTCCCATAGACACTCCTAAACCTTGTGGACAGCCTTCCCAGAAAAGTTGAAGCTGTTATAGCTGCAAAGGGTGGGGCAACTCAATATTGAACCCTACGGACTAAGATCGGGATGCCATTAAAGTCATGTGCGTGTAAATGCAGGCGTCCCAATACTTTTGGCAATATAGTGTACCTTGATTGTAGTTTGTGCAGTCAAGATTTACCTAAAGTTGATTGCTGCATTTGTCGGTCTGATTAACTCGTACTTTCTGAAGGCTCAAAGAAGGGTCATGCAGCATACAAATCAGCCATTTGTCAATGAAGCGGTTAGCCTATTTCTCAAGCTTATGGTCTAAAGGGCAGAGTTCCACTGTTCTTGATGATGGATCTTTCTACCAGGAGTGCTGGTGCTTCGTAAGCTGTTAGACATCAGGCTTTGGTAGTTGAAGTTCGTAAGGCCGCTGCTTAGTCCTCAGTTCATACTCTTACGAAGTTTCAACAAGTGGATGTTTGGGCCTCTGAGGAATTGACCTTTGGTTGGTGAGTCTTGCAGGCTTGCATGAGGTTCTAACCTGTTCTGGCTTAGTTGTTTGGGGCCTGTTGGCTTGTTGCCTTGTTGTCCTCCCCTCAAATTCAGTGCTTTGGGACATCCCTATTGTAATACATATGACAATACCCTGTGTCCTGGGATGTATGATAGAGAAAATGTGATTTTTCGTTTACCCCTAATCTGTTTACCGTTTTACCTGTTGAGTACATCATTGGATACAGGGATCACACCCCTCTTCCTTTGTTGCTCATTGCTTGCTTAAAAATCTGAATCTGTGTCTGGCTGGGAGGGGTTATTCCTGAGAGGGAATTTTCTGTCTTTTTTTAGTCAGTGTCCAGTGATCTGAAGTTGGCAGCATAACCGTATCTAATGGATATGAAGATACCCTGTGTCCTGTGATGTACTCCAAGAAAAAGGATTTTTTTTAGGTGAACCAAAAATCCTAACTTTTAGGAATGCTCTGTTAATGGGAACATATCACAAAAATATAGTAGGGTTTCTCAAATTTGACTGAAAAAGTGGAAATAGACTTTTAAGTGTCTACGAGGTCTACTTTTATAATATTTTTACCCAGGAATCTAATTTTTCCAGTATTTAATCAAATTGGAAATGCTGTAACGTTTGGGTAAAAGCATTTATAAATAGACCCCTAAGTGTCATATACAAAAAAATAGACATGAGGTTATCCATAGACATTAGAGAGCAGTTTGAAAAACATGTTAATGGTAAACTGTGAGGTTTTTTTTTTTTTTTTTTAGTTTTTGTTGTTTACTAAAGTTATCCTCATGTCAAAAGAACGTCACAAGAGAGTCAGTATGTGGAACTGGAATTTTTCTGCATCATTCTGTAATTTGAACGATACTTTTGCATGTTTTTTCTATGTTTATCTGTACTTCTGTGGATCACAAGTGTGCAGTTCTTTCTGCAGTCCTGTGAACTGTTTTTGAGCTAAAGCCCACTGTTGGCTGACGTCACCAAGCTGATCCAGGCTGGAGAAAGATCTCATATGGAGGACTAGCTCCTGGCTCAGCCTCTCAGTGAACTGCTTAGAGCCTGAGCCAGCTGCTCCCATCCCCTCCGCAACCCTGTACTCCAGTAAGTGCTGAGGGGTGGGGGGTAGTGCAGACAGCGGTGACAAAACAGTCACTGCTCTCTGCTGAGAGAGGTGGGGAGAACTGAGCGATCAGTGGTGTTTAATCACTCAGTTCTCAGCCTTAGAGCTGACGGGACAGATGCAGCATTGGGGTAAGTATGATTTATAAAAGAAAAACCCATAATCCCATACTTCTCTTTTAAGATAATTGAACATTTTTACAAAGTAATTGTCAATTTCCTATTCACAGATTTATCAATTTGACATTATTTGGTATGAGAAAATGCATATTACAAATAGATTAATTTCTAAGTCGATAAAGACAGACGCTTATGTTTGTGCAGTGATTGTACATATGAACTAGTACGACTGAGGAATTTGACTGTGTGTGAACTACAGCTAGCGAAACGATGACCTGACTAAATAAAACCTTTACAGACATATTTGTGGGCATTTGTTTTAGTGCACAGGGCCATCTGAGTATTTCTAAGAAGCCCCCAAGGCACCATGTCAGCATAAAGTACATTTCATGGGTGGATATGGTCCCTTCTCACTTGTTAAAGACTGTAAGAATTTACTGTTTTATATATAAACAAAAAAAAAATGTTGACTTTTTTTTTTCAGCTACCTATTTCACAGATGATGTATTGCAGCCAACTGTTTCTCTACAAGGCCAAAACTCTGTATCTGCAGGCCAGCAGAGTGGAAAGTTGTTAGCCAACGATCTTGATTCCTCACTTGCTCACCTAGTGGGAAGTAAGTGATTGTGTCCTTCATTTAGAAAACATAATGCGCATCTAGACAATGAGAATAATTTTACACAAAAGACGTTGTAGGTGAATATGCCTTAAAGAAATAATGCCATTTGTGTCAAGATAAAGTAAAAAGGAGACATCTACATAAAGTCACTTGAGTTTTTAAGTAAAGGCAAAGAAAGAACCACTAAGAAGGAAATTATCCTATTTAAATGTATGTGTTTTATTTTTGATATAATTTTAAATTTGATCCAATCTGATCAAACACAGAGGGGAATATAATGAATTTATACATTTTTGGGAGGCTAGTTTTTTTTTTGTTTTTTTTTTAGTTTTGTATAAATGACACATCTGAAGTGCATTTTTTTTCCCATTATTTTGAGGCAAGTAGTTTGACTGTATTGAATGAGAGAGAATGAGGAGAAAATCAATTTGACATGTGTTTGCATATTTAGTGGATAAATTCATGACAGATTGGTGTTTCGGTTTATTTTTATTGTCATTGTATTGTAGAGCATATATTCAGTAATTGCGTTGATGTTTTGTAGATCTCGGTTTTGGCGGAACACCATCAAAAAGGTGAGCATTTACTTTTCTGTGTCTGACATTATGTAGATCAAATACATTTTTTTGTGTGGAGTATTGAACCATTTATAGGGTAACACCTGCTTGAGTGTATCTGGGCACTTTGCAGATTAGTGTGTCAAGATTTAGGTGAAATTCTTGTCTTGACTAAGAGATGCTATTTTAAGAACAAAATTCCATTCCTTATATTCTGGTATGGTTTGAGATGGAGAACAGGTTACCTAATGCTGAGCATTGACCGTACTGCCAACAGATGCACAAACACCTGGCGCAGAAAATTCTGCCTGATGCAGTACTGCAATACCTTGGTAATCTGAAACTCTGTTCTAATGTATGCTTACATATTTATAATGATTCTGTTTACTTGTACTGCAGAACTAGTTTTTCCCTATTGTTGATTGATTAACACAACTTCATGATAATTAAGCAACCTAGCTTATACTACTGCCTACAGGAGAAATGAACATCAGACACACAAAAAGTGACGGCCTACCCTTTTGAGGCTATAACCCCTCCCACCTGCCTAGTTTTGTGTAGTGTCCTTAGGAGAGTGGACGTGTTTCTTCAGCTTTAATTTTTTTTTCCTGTTCATTTGGATGTTTTTTTTTTTTACTATCAACAGCTATTGGTAGATTCAGGCCATATACTAAAATCCTGTAAGTCTGTCCAGTCAGCCATTGTGCCCAAGTTTTCCCCAGTCGTCTTCCAGGACAGCAACCTGAGAGAGGATTGGTTCCTCTTTCTACAGGAAACACAAGCCAAACAACTAAAAACTCCTCTCACCCCCTCGTCCCTCAGTTAGAGATTTTGCTTTCTACCGTCTAGGAAGCAATCACGTTTGTTCTTTTCCTTACTTGGATGGTCCAGCAGTCGGCATTGACAACCCTTCTTTGTTCCAACTAGCGCAAAACTACACTACTCAGGTCATTCCAGTATATTCTGGGGATCCTGTGCAGTTATCAGGACCAGAGCTACTGGTTAACGTTTACTGGTGAAGATTATTCCTGCTAATTGTAATGACTAGATGGGCATTGTGGGAGGAATATTGGTAAACCTCCCTTGTGCCAATTTGGGCACTTAAAGTGGAACTATCCCCCCCAACGTTTCAGTATTTTTTGTTTATATAGCAAAAAAATAAATACAGTGGTGATTAAATACTACCAAAAGAAAGCTCTATTTCTATGAATTATAAAAATTAAATTTGAGTATAGTCTTACAAGAATAAACAATTGGTGATTAAAGTAGCACGGTGCTGAATAGCAAAAAAATATAATTGCTGTGGTCATAATGGGGGTAAAGCCTTTCAGAGGTCAAGTGGTTAAACAATAACATTTAAGCCTTTACAGTAACTTTACTTTCAGCCAAACAGTTTTGGCGTCAACCACTAAAGGGAACCCTTCTTTTTAATTTATCCTCTATGGCACAGATGTCAAACTGGTGGCCCTCCAACTGTTGCCAAACTACAAGGTCTCATAAGGCATTGTAAGATTGACAGTTACAAGCATAACTCCCAAAGGCAGAGGCATGATGGGACTTGCAGTTTTGTAACCGCTGGAGGGCCACCAGTTTGACACCCCTGCTCTATGGACATTGCCTGTGTGTGTATCTGGCTGCTGGGCACTGTTTAGGTCTAAACCATGATTTGAATTTCTCGCCACCATTTTCTAAAGACATGAATTTGATGCAGCTAAATTTATTACAGATACTTATATAGCGCCATCAATCTACACAGCGCTTTACATATATATTGTACATTCACATCAGTCCCTAACCCTCAAGAGATGTACAATCTGAGGTCCCTAACTTACATTCATACATACACATACTAGGGCCAATTTAGACAGGAGCCAATTAACCTACCAGCATGTCTTTGGAGTAAATGAGGAACAAGCGTGCAGGAAACACCCTACTTTCCTGGGGTCTTTCACAGAAGCATTGTAGACAGGCAGCATTGAGCACATTCCCTGCAAACTTTAAATTGAGGGCACAAAATCTGCAGAGGGTTGGTCCAAGCTCATCATTCTCAACTGAAACATAGTTGTGTCTGTCTGAACTGGTATTTTATGGATGGTTAATGCCCTACTAGTAGAGCCTCTTCCTGTTGGTGTTCTTTAAGGCAAATGCTTTCTCTACCTATTGTTGTGAAAAATCCTGCATAACAACCTCTTTATATACAAAGCCCTCTTATTCATGTGACAAGTGAGTTGTGAGATATGTGTCCACTTTCACTGTCAGGCCTACTCAACTAGGGCAGTGCGTACCCCTGGGTTGATTTCATCATTGGACCACTTTGTCTCAGATTTGTACAACTGCAACCTAGTCTTCTGAACAAGTCCTATATGGTAAATACATGTTTTGGTCAAAAGGTTCTCATACTTCATTTTGGGAGTCCTTAGGTTGCTTAATTATTAAGCTGAGCCCCTCGATGGGCAATAGAAAACATGATCTTTCTATTCACTGTAAAATTGAGTTAACAGAAAAGGATTTTACAGTGATTACAAAAATCCTGATTTTCAAGGATTAACTTCAGTAAGGCATGTCCAGGTCATTAGGATCCTAATCTTAATCTTTGGCTGCTCCTTTCTAGTTGTACACGTCATTACATTGGGATCTGCTGCACCGTTACTTCCAAAAACGTTTTGACATTAAGGGCCCCCCTTGCACATGCGCATCTTTTAAAACATGTATTCTCTTGCTTTGAGGCATGCTGCTTTAAGGTAGCCTGATTCTTTTTAATGGGCAGGCCATGCAATGCCCAAGAAATTGCAGCTGTTGTATTTTTGGCAGTGCAGCACGTCAGAATACATGGTTTGTGCACTTTGGTGTGCTCTGTAGTACAGGAACAATAGCAGCTTAGTGCATGTGTGCATTGAGATGACATTTTAAATGAATGTCACTGCAATGTACCTAGCACTATGTGTTAGAGATAACCACAGTGCACACGTATGAAGCCAGCATTTATGTTCCAGCTGGAAAAAAAGCAGCCCACCTGTAGATAGGGTGTTTCGTTGTTGTGAATTGTCAGTGTGTTGTGCTGAGACACTGTAACGCATTCTGAGACACTATAACTATTGATGTATGTGCATACTTTTTTGTATGAATTCAGTAAAATGTGATTGATGACCTAGTTGACAGATGGACTATGTGATAGCTAAGATTTTCAACCTGATTAATAAACAAGAGATATGAAGTATTTGTTGCTGGTCTTTTAGATCTGATATGCAGTGGAATCAGCCTACTGAGAAAAAACTTACTGGTGGGACAAACTGGCAAGCCAGAACAAGCACTTCCACAACATGGAACCCTGCCCCTGTAGCTCCTGTTTCACAAGTGGTGAGTTATACATTTTGTCATTACATATAAGATTTCACATAGCCTATTTAGAAGTTTTGACTGTGGGCTTTTGTGCCATTATAAAGGCTTATTTTGTTAATTCTAATTTTGTATTTTTTTGGCTCAGAGTTGAACAAGTTTTTTTTTTTTTTTTTTTTTTTTTTTAAAGAGACACTGCTACCTTATCCTTCCTGGGTAAAGTGGCTGGCTGTGCCTTTGTAAACTCCTAATACTCACCTTTAAAGTACTCCTTATATCCTCCAGCAGCGGTCATTGCGTTCTGCTAGCAGGGAAGGCTCCCCACCAGGTTCAGTCAGTGTTGATGGGGAGCAGTTTTCTTTTCTATCCACTTGTGATGGAAGGAAAGAAAATTGCATAATCTATGGGCTTATTTAGCAAGTCTTTTCCCAAATGCACTTGCTATGTGCAGGATTCGCCTTCATTATAGCCACCTGATCGCTCTCAATTTTGTAACATTAAAAGGAGAAGCTTGAGCATTTGTACATTGTTTTGCTGTGGTATGTGCAGAATGGGGCCTCTGCTAACATCTGTGGTGAAAGGAGAATATACTGGATATAGTACATCAAAACTTTTGTCCACCAGTAATGAAATGGATCTTCCCTTCTTGTACCAACATATATCACAGTATATTGATGTAGTAGCCATCATGCTGCATCTTTACAGTTTAAAGCTGTTGAAAGTGGCATTTTTAATATTGCTCGTGTCCTGGCAAGGGAAGCTTCAAGTGATTGTCTTTTTATGAAAGTTTCAGTATTTGTAATATGGACAGTTTTTTTTGTTTGTTTTTTTTTATGTATACAGGTGAAACTCGAAAAATTAGAATATCGTGCAAAAGTTCATTTATTTCAGTAATGCAACTTAAAAGGTGAAACTAAAATATGAGATAGACTCATTACATGCAAAGCAAGATAGTTCAAGCTGTGATTTGTCATAATTGTGAAGATTATGGTTTACAGCTCATAAAAACCCCAAATCCACAATCTCAGAAAATTAGAATATTGTGAAAAGGTGCAATATTATAGGCTCAAAGTGTCCCACTCTAATCAGCTAATTAAGCCATAACACCTGCAAAGGGTTCCTGAGCCTTTAAATGGTGTCTCAGTCTGGTTCAGTAGGAATCACAATCATGGGAAAGACTGCTGACCTGACAGTTGTGCAGAAAACCATCATTGACACCCTCCGTAAGGAGGGAAAGCCTCAAAAGGTAATTGCAAAAGAAGTTAGATGTTCCCAAAGTTCTTTATCAAAGCACATTAATAGAACGTTATGTGGAAGGGAAAAGTGTGGAAGAAAAAGGTGCACAAGCAGCAGGGATGACCGCAGCCTGGAGAGGATTGTCAGGAAAAGGCCATTCAAAAGTGTTGGGGACTTTCACAAGGAGTGGATTGAGGCTGGAGTCAGTGCATCAAGAGCCAACACACACAGACGGATCCTGGACATGGGCTTCAAATGTCCTATTCCTCTTGTCAAGCCGCTCCTGAACAACAAACAACATCAGAAGTGTCTTACCTGGGCTAATGAAAAACAGACCTGGTCTGTTGTTCAGTGGTCCAAAGTCCTCTTTTCTGATGAGAGCAACTTTTGCATCTCATTTTGGAAACCAAGGACCCAGAGTATGGAGGAAGAATGGAGAGGCACACACTGCAAGATGCTTGAAGTCCAGTGTGAAGTTTCCACAGTCTGTGTTGATTTGGGGAGCCATGTCATCTGCTGGTGTTGGTCCACTGTGCTTCGTTAAGTCCAGGGTCAACGCAGCCGTCTACCAGGAGATTTTGGAGCACTTCATGCTTCCTTCTGCAGATGAGATTTATGGGGATGCTGACTTCATTTTCCAGGAAAAGACTCTAAGATTCTAATTTTCTGAGATTGTGGATTTGGGGTTTTCATGAGCTGTAAGCCATAATCATCACAATTATGACAAATCACGGCTTGAACTATCTTACTTTGCATGTAATGAGTCTATCTCATATATTAGTTTCACGATATTCTAATTTTTTCGAGTTTCACCTGTACATGAAATCATTTTAGTATGTATTTGTTTATGGTAATTTTGTATTTTTATTTTAATTAACATGTCATCATAGAATGGAGTCCACTACCCTGGATATGTAAGTTATGCTCACCCCCTGTTATCGTTAGATTGTTACATTTTCTCCACTACTATGTTTTTAAATTTGCCTTTATTCCTTCTGCTGCAGTATAAAAGTGTGTGTGTGTGTGTGTGTGCGTGTGTGTGTGCGTGCGTGCGTGCGTGCGTGCGTGCGTGCGTTCTTTGGTTTCATTTGAGGGTATGTACATCCAAATTGGAGGAAGGGTTTAGGAATTACAGCTCTTTAAGAGTAGCCACCCCCCTTTTTCAAGGGACCAAAGGTATTTGGACAAATGAATATAATCATAAATAAAATGTTTATTTGTAATATTTTGTTGAAAATCCTTTACTGCCAATGACTGCCTGAAGTCTGGAACCCATGGACATTACCAAAGACTGGGTTTCCTCCTTTCTGATGCTTTGCCAGGCTCTAACTGCAGCTGTCTTCAGTTGTTCTTTGTTTGTAGGTCTTTCTGCCTTTAGTTTTGCCTTCAGCAAGTGAAATGCATACTCAATTGGGTTGAGATCAGGTGGTTGACTCAGCCTTTGCAGAATATTCCACTTCTTTCCATCAAAAGCTCCTAGGTTGGTTTTGCAGTGTGTTTTGGATCATTGTCCATCTGTACTGTGGAACAATCAACTTTTGGCTGAATCTGGGCTGACAGTATATCTCTACACACTTCCGAATTCATTCAGCTGCTTTTGTCACATCAATAAACACCAATGACCCAGTGCCACTGAAAGCCATGCATGCCCATGCCATCACACTGCCTCCACCATGTTTTACAGATGATGTTGTGTGCTTTGGATCATAAGCTGTTCCAAGCCTTCTCCACACTTTTTTTCCTCCTGTCATTCTGGTACAGATTAATCTTAGTTTCATCCGTCCAAAGAATGCTTTTCCAGAACTGGTCTGGCTTTTTTTAGATGTTTTTTGGCAAAGTCTAATCTGGCAAAGTCTAATCTTATTACTAGTTTGCACCTTGTGATGAACCATCTGTATTTGCTCTTGACTGTAGACTTTGACAATGATACACCCGCCTCCTGGAGAGTGTCCTTCACTTGTCTGGATGTTGTGAATGGGTTTTTCGTTACAATAGAGAGGATCCTTTGATCATCCACCACTGTTGTCTTCCGTGGACATGCATGACTTTTTATGTTGCTGAGTTCACCAGTGCGTTCTTCTTTCCTCAGAATGTACCAAACTGTGTGATTTGGCCACTCCTAATGTTGCTGCTATCTCTCTGATGGATTTGTTTCATTTTTTAAGCCTTACAATGGCTTGTTTAACTTGCATGGACAGTTCCTTTGAATGCATGATGAAACAGCTGAAATTGCATAGTGGGAATTTTGTAAAACTAAAGTTGAACTTGCACTTTAATTGTTTTGGATGAAGGTGTGTGAGCATTTTTTCTGTTGCTAGAGAAAAAAAAAGTGACAATGTAATTTATTTTTTCAATTTTATGTTTCAAGGCACCTCCAACAATGACCTATCCAGTACCAACACCACAAGTGCCTGTGTATGGAATGGTAGGAAAATTGTTTAATTTTGTTTTAGTTCTGTTCAGTTTTTTTTTTGCAGATGTGGACTACTCAATTTAAGTTCAAATTTATTGTGTTGTAAATGGTTCTAATTTTACATAAATTGTTTCATTTCTACTAGTTTTGATTGAAACCATATGCTGGATTAGCCAGTTTTGTTTAAGGTGACCCTATCAGTAAAGTCAGTTCAGGCAAAAAGAATATCTGCAAAACAAGATGGTGAAAACTTGCCTTTTGCACTATCTGTGGTGACAAACAGCACTCCATTTAAGAGGAATACTTCACTGAAGTCTGCTGAAAGATAAACACTTCAAGGAATGTCAATCTTCTGTGTCATCTGAAACACTTAGTGACTTACCCCCGCCACCTTCCACGTAATTGTTCGCTCTCAGGAGCTCAGTGAATTCGAGCATGCTACCATGATAGGTTGCCACCTGTGCAATAAGTCCATCCGTGAAATTTCCTTGCTACTAAATATTCCACGGTCAACTGTTAGTGGTATTATAACAAAGTGGAAGCAACTGGGAACAACAGCAACTTACAAAGTGGTAGGCCATGTAAAATGACAGAGCGGGGTCAGCATATGCTGAAGCACACAGTGCACAGAAGTTACCAACTGTCTGCAGAGTCAATAGCTAAAGACCTACAAACTTCGTGTGGTCTTCAGATTATCACAACAGTGTGTAGAGAGCTTAATGGAATGGGTTTCCATTTACCGAGCAGCAGCTGCATCCAAGCCTTGCATCACCAAGTGCAATGGAAAGCATTGAATGCCCTGGTGTAAAACATGCCACCACTGGACTCTAGAGCAGTGGAATAGTGTTCTCTGGAGTGACGAATGTGTCTGAGTTTGGTGGTTGCCAGGAGAACTGTACTTCCCTGACTGCATTGTGCCAAGTGTAAAGTTTGGTGGAGGGGGGATTATGGTGTGGGATTGTGAAGGGAAATCTTAAGGTGTCAGCATACCAAGACATTTTGGACAATTTCTTGCTCCCAACTTTGTGGGAACAGTTTGGGGATGGCCCCTTCCTGTTCCAACATGACTGCGCACCAGTGCACAAAGCAAAGTCCATAAATACATGGATGAGTGCATTTGGGGTGGATGAACTTGACTGGCCTGCACAGAGTCCTGACATCAACCCGATAGAACACCTTCTCATCCGATATCGGTGCCTGACCTCACAAATGTGATTCTGGAAGAATGGTCAAACATTCCCATAGACACACTCCTAATAATTGTTGACAGCCTTCCCAGAAGAGTTGAAGCTTTTATAGCTGCATAGGGTAGGCCACCTCAATTTTGAACCCTACGAGACAAAGACTGAGATGCCATTAATAAAACGGCATT